TGACCCCAGTACTATTTCCTGCCATGGCAGGGGGTCGGACTAGATGATCTACTCAGGTCCCTTCCGACCCTAGAAACTATGAAACTATATATCCCCGCACCCCCCCCACATCCACACCTACCCACACTCCCCAGAGGTCCCCCCCAAACCCTACATACACATCCACACATACCCAAGCCTTCCCCCACATCCCACATATATGCACACTCACACACATACACCTACAGTCCCCCACAAAACCCATACCCCCCCACCCCTCTTACAATATACAAGAGTAAGACTTCATCTCAAGCTATTATGCAATCATCTCTTTATACACAATGCAAATGCACATAAATCAGAACAAATACATATTTTTAAATAAAATTAAAATATGTTATTGTAAATGCTTGGTTTTTAATATATAATGTGTCTTTTTCTGGTTCCAAGATGGCAAGCCCCCTTCCCAAAAGGAGTACTTCTGGGGCAAAGGGAGGGACTTCTGGTGGCAAGAATCAGGGTTTAGGGGTGGGACTTCCAGTCCCAAGATGGCACCCAGGACGCAGGGCACCTGTCAACAGGTAGGGCTACCTTTATGGTCCATGGCATCTCATTGAAACTCATTAAGCAGCCCTCCAACTGAAATAATTGCCCTCCCTTGCAGTAGACTGTTGGTGAACAGTTGAGGGCTGCATGCGTATCCCTGCCCCCTGACAGCTGCCCCACCTTTTGACAGGTACTCTGACCCTGGTCACCATCTTGGCACCAGAAGTCCTGCCCCTAACACCTGACCTATGCCACCAGAAGTCCCTCCCCTTGCCCTGGAACTACTCCTTTTGGGGGTTGCCATCTTGAAACTGGAATCCCTCCACACACACATCATAGACTGAAAAAAATCAAATATCTTCTATAACTTATTTGAATTTTATTTTAAAAAAATATTTTTGTCCTGATTTGTGTGTTTCCATAGTGTATTTAGAGGCGATTGCATAATAGCTCAAAATACATTCTTACTCTTGTATATTTTGTGTTGGGGGAGTACAGCGGTGTTTAGGGGGATTATGTGGTTGGGGAGTAGGTGTGGAGTGTGAGGGTTGTGGGAGGGCTTGTGTGTATGTTGGGGGTTTGGTGGGGAGCCAGCCCCGCCCATTTAATCCCATTCTGTTTACTAGGCTGGCACCCATATGGTGCAGCATGGGGCTAGCTTGGCCTGGCACATGGTTCTGGCTGCCAGGCTGGGGACCACACAGCACAGCATGGAGCCAGCCCTTCTGGAAGCCGGGAACTGTGTGCTGCAGCTGGGACAAGTTGGGCTGGGTTGGCTCTGTGCCACACCATGCAGGTCACAGCCTTGTGGCTGGGAACCACACAGTGCAGCATGGAGCCAGCCCAGCCTGGCCCCTTTGCACTGAACCACATGGTTCCTGGCTTTGCAACTGGGAACTGCGTGCCACAGCTCGGATAAGGTGGGCTGGGTTGGCTGCGTGCCATGCCGTACAGGATGGACCCCAACCTTGGAAGTCTTCAAGAGGAGACTGGACTGACACCTTGTTGGGATCATTTGATCCCAGCCTGGCTTGCCCCATCCCCTCCTGGCTGGGTTCCAGCTGCAAAGCTGAGACCTGCATGGTATGGCATGGGTCAGCCTGGCCTGGCTTGATCCCTCCATGCTGTGACACATGGGTCCTGGCCTTGCAGTCAGGAACCGTGTGCCGCAGTTGAAATGAGCTGGGCCAGGCTGACTCTATGCCGCGATGTACAGGTCCTGGCCTTGCAGCCAGAACTGCATGCTGTCGGGAGGGGATGGGATGGGTCAGGCAGGATCTGTGCTACACCACGCAGTTCCTGGCTGCAAGGCTGCGACCTGCATGGTGCGGCAGAGCCAGCCCAGCTTGGCTCGTCCTGGCTGCAGTGTGTGGTTCCCAGCCTCCTGGTCAGGTGGGTTGGGAACTGGCAATGGGGTCAAACCCAGAGAGTGTTAGTGGACAGGTCTGTATAGTCTTGGCAGGAGGTGGCCAGTGGTGTCCCACAGGGTTTGGGTCTTGGCCCTTTGCTGTTCAACATCTCTAGCAATGATTTAGATGAGGATGTGGAAAGCACGCTGGCCGAGTTTACGGATGATACCAAGTTATGGGGAAAAGTGGCCACACTAGAGGATAGGATATGGATCCAAGAAAACCTGGACAAGCTGGAAAGGTGGACTTCCCAAGGAGGTGGTGCAGTCCCCTACCTTGGAAGTCTTCAAGAGGAGACTGGACAGACACCTCACTGGGATCATTTGATCTCAGCAGTATTCCTGCCCAGAGCAGGACTCTATAATCTTTTGAGGTCCCTTCCAGCCCTTAATTTCTATGATATGTTACAAAGCAGATAGTGGGGCTGAAAGATACTACACGTTTAAGCAGTTTATGCAGTCTATTTGTTATAATGTAAGGAATAGATGCATTGGGACTGGCATTTTGTTAATTAAATATATTTTTAACTTATCTGGGATTGGCAGAAGGCACTTCAGAGTGGTATTATATGGACTATCTAATTTAGAGAGGCATAAACTTTTGTAAGCAACAGACTAGTTTGTCATGTGCTGTGAATGGACCTGCAGGGAGCTAGAGTTCTAAATAGAAAGGAGAAATTAAATGCAAAGGATAGGGAAATAAGCTGTTGTTAATGAAAGTTTATGCCTCTCTGAATGAGTCTATAAGGTGCAACTGTAGCCATGCTTTCTGTTAATTTCAGATTAACAAAGCTAACTACCTCTCTCTATCAGGGATTGCATGTAGACAAATTAGAAAGAGTCCATCAGAGAGCAATAAGCATGATTAAAGTCCTGGGAAACTTGATTTAGGAGAAAAGGCTGAAAGAATTAGGAT